GGGGTCTGAGCGGGGCGGTGCTGGGCTCCGTGTGCCCCAGCCGTGCTGCCCGCCGCCCGCTGAGGGGCGAGGCCCGGCTGCCCGCTGCGGAGAGGGGGAGGCTCCGGGGGCCGGGTGGGTGACTTCTGCTCTGCCCCCTCAGCGCTGGCCATGGCTGCGCCGTGGGAAGACGTCCTGCGCGACAAGCCGGCCATCCGAGAGGCCGCGTCGGTGGCCGTGGACGCGGCGCTCCTGGAAGGCGTGCTGATGCGGACCGAGGGCGAGCCCAACGCCTCGGATGTGAGTGCCAGCGCGGAGTCACGGGACGTGTTCGGTCCCGGCCAGGGTGTGAGTCAGCAAAACGGGAGGAGCCGGCTGACATCCCCGCGGTTGCCGAGCCTTCGTCAGCGTGCGTTGCTTTGCAGAGAACACCCAGCTGCCTGGCCGAAGCACGACCAGCCTGGGGGACTGTAACTCGCACCCTGCCCTGCTGAGTGCAGCTTCCCAGGAGGTAGCCCTGCCATACAGCTCCCCTTTTCCAAGGAGCGGGATAGATCTGGAAAGGTTTGGGAGATTGCCAGGAGCCCTGTGTGGTTGGTGGTAGGAGTTCATCCCTCTCCCAGCCTCCCACCACCTGTATGATCATTTGAACCAGGGGAGTGTCTCTCAGACGGGCCTCTGGTCTTGGCATGCTCCCAGCTACAAGTCAGCCTTTGCCCCATTCCTGGGACGAGGTGACGAGGACGGGGGTAGCTGATGTGTGGGATTGCCCCTGATGAATCTCTGGCAGGGGTAGGGGTGCTGTTGGAGGGCTGAGCATGTTGGAGGGGGATGCTGTGAGGGGTCTCAGAGAAGGAAGTACCCATGTGCAAGATGGGTGGGACACTGTTGGGAATGGGTCCCTAAGGAGTCTGGGGACATGCAGGCAACTGTGCTGGGAGCTGGCAGAGGTAGGAGGAGGGAGGGCTCTGTTTCCTCATCAGTACCACCACAGGGGCTGCTCCCTGATGTCAACCCCATGGTCAGATCAAGGCTCTGAGGGAACCTTGAAGGGTGAGATGAAGAGGGAGCCTGGGAGGAGAGGCCAAACACACTGCTGCTGACCCTTGTCTCATGTCAAAATCAAGGTGAATTGGGAACTTTTCTCTTGTGTAATGTTTTGTCTTTGAGGGTGGCCCTGTACCTGAGCTGTGAGGTGAGCCAGGGGTCCAGACTCACCCCTGGGCCTCAGTAGGCAGGGATCAAAGGATGGCCAAAACCCAGGATTGTCAAACTCACCTTTTTGCTGAAACAGGTGTTTTGGAGACAGCGCTCTCCAGTTTAGATGGAAACAGAGCGTCCTTCAGAGGGAAGCGCTTGGCCCAGCTTGAGCTCTGCAGCAGCTGCTCCTGCCTCTGCAGAGTCCCGTGGGTGGCTCATAAAGCAAAGCCCTCAGAAGTCAGTGGTCAGCAGGGCTGAGGCCATCTGTCTGTCCAGGGTGCACTGAGGAGGGCTGGGGGTGGCTTCAGCCTTCAAACAAGCAGAGGCAGCACCTCTTAGCCCCACATAAACTGCCCAGACCTGACTGCTCTGCTGCTGCATCCTTGTTTGCAGGTGGTGAATTATGCTCCCTTCACGCTGCTCCCATCTGCAGTACCAAGTGCCCTGTTTGAACAAGCATACGCTGTTCAGCAAGATTTTAACCTGCTGGTGGATGCTATTAGTCAAAACAAAGAATTTCTGGAGGATACTTTGGCCAGGTAACTTTCTTGCACCTTGCATTTTAATGAATATTTTAAATGCAAAGCATTTACCACATTTCAGGCCTTCCTACCTCCCTTCCATTCGTGTCCTTCAAGATGAGGTGGGTGCTCCTGTCCTCTGCAGACATTATCTCCTTTGCTGCATTATTTCTCCTAAGATTAATTTCCATCATGTCTGTGTTTTGGGGTCTGCTTAAGCCTCAAAAGATGGGACATCTGGCCAAGAGCTAACTCCTTGCAGTGATCTTCAGTTTTGCCAGTTCTTACTTGTGAGCTTGGGCCTTAAATTCAAATTGCTAAAGTCTTCTTTGAGCCCTGGATTTAGTAGTCTCTTTTAGTCTTGTTTTGCATCTGCCTGTGACTATCCAATAACCACCAGCTCTGCTGCCTGCCCACAGTTATGAAGAGAAGGTGTTCGTTCCTTGCCCCACTCCTACCTCTGAGCAGTCACCCTGTCCGTGTCCCTGCTTTCCCACCGTACCAGGGAGGTGACGTGCAAGCTCTGGAGGACTGGTCAGCTCTGGCTCGTGAACTCTCCTGGGTTTATCTGTGGCTGGAGCAACCATCCCTGGCTGTGGGGCTGATGCTTCCACAAAACTAATTTCTCTTCCTGCTGCCCGTTCTGTGCGGCCTGTCTGCGCAAGTGCTGCTGGTGCCCTGGCACTGGGACAGAGCAAAGGAGGCTGTTTTTCACTGTTCTTTTTGTTTTGCTAAAGCCTGGCCCCTCAGAGCTGGTTTAATGCTGTCGTCTGTTCCAGAGCTGGCTGCAACCGGAGCTTGTGGGGTCATGTTTATACCTGTGGTTGAGGAATGTAGTGCCTGGGGCTTGTGTGCACTCCGATGCCTGCCCTGTGCCGCCTCCTGCCCAGCTCCTTGGAGGTGCTGCTCACAATTAACTGGGGGATTTGGGACCCTGCAGTAAAGCCAGGCCTACTCTAGCAGGGCCACTGAAGCACTTGCACTGCAGCATGTGGGATTTGGAGCTGAACGGAACAGGGGGAATTTGATGAAGGTTGTGAAGCTTCTGTGAACTGTGTGTGCATGCACAGAGAGGCTTCTGATTTCTTTCCTGTATCTGCAGAATTCTGCTGCGTTTTGTTGCTTTTGCTTGTGCTGTCTCTCTACCCTGCAAATGAAAGTCACCTGTGTGCAGCAGTGCTTTTCCTAGAGTGGCTGTGCTGAGCAAACTGGATTTACATTATGGTTATGCGTGTGGCCCTTGATGAAGATTGCGTTCATGGTGAGATGCTTGACAGTGCTGTAGGTCTAGCCACAGCCCTTGCTATTTGTGCTGAGAATTAATTATTAATTCTGGAGAGGAATTAATCTTCTTGTTCCTGTATGACAGTGTAAGGGGTCTGATCCAGTCTGTCTTTCTCTCTAGCACCATCAGGGTAGATGACTTCACAGCTCAGCTCTTCAGAATCTACATGCAAGTTTTGGAGGAAGGCTTGGCTCAGGTACCTTGGCAGGAGACCCCAGCTCTTGACTGCTGTGCCCCTTTGCATGGTGGGGGAATTGTCTGGCCTCTGTCTGTGAGCTTGCTGCTGTGGGCTTTGAACCGTCCCGTAGTCAGACTGGTCACTCCCAACACTGTCTCGGTTACAGCCTGTGAGCTGAGGACCTTGCCCTGTTTGACAGTCATGCCCTTTGGTTAGTGCTGGTGGCCTTGACTGGGAGGATTTAATATGGTTTGTCCTTGTCCTCTGGGAGCAATGGGAGAGTGTGAGGACGTGTGCCATGTCAGGACCTGTGTCCAACAGGCTGTCACTGCAGAGGCTCCATTACTCTCCTGAGTGGTGTTAACTCCTCTGGAGTACTGAGGAGAGCTGTGGGCCCTGAGCAAGGGCCAAAGCACCCACAGGCACGTCTTGCAGAGGTTTTTATCAAAATGGAGGTGACTGGATCTGCCCTAGGAGGATTTTGAAACTAGATCATCAAAAGGATTTGTTAAAGGCAGCAGGAGAACCCATTTCACCTCCCCTCTGTTTCAGTCTGTGTTTTTAGGCATAAACCGCTCTGATTACATGTTTGACTGTGGGGTAGATGGGACACCGGCTCTGAAGCAGATAGAAATAAACACCATTGCTGCCAGCTTTGGAGGCCTCACCTCCCGCACTGCGGCTGTCCACGGGTAAGGGACTGTCTCTGGCCTGCGCTGCAGCAGCTGTACCGCACGCTCTGCTGCGTTCCGTGTCTGTGTGCTCTCCCAGCTCCTGCTCCATAGGTCTTGTCGGGGGCTGTCGTGGTGTTTACAGCTTTTTTTTGTTTGTTTTCCCCACAGGCAGGTGTTGAAAGTGCTGGGAAAGTCTAAGGAGGCATCGCACCTGCTGCCCAACAACCCATCCAAAGGCCTTGCCTTGGGTATTGCGAAAGCCTGGGAGCTCTATGGCTCTCAAAAGTAAGGAGAGAGGAGGTGCTGGAGGCTGGGTTATCTTGTCTCCCCTGGGAATGCACGTGTTTGGCTTTGAAATTGCACTTTCTGAAAAATGTCTGTTTGCTAGTCAAGCTACTCTCAAAGCCTGTGGCACCCTGAGAAGAGTGGTGTGGTTGTCTTAGCATGCAGGAGTGCTGTGTCACAAAGGCAGAGAGGTGCAGAGGGACCCTGGAGGACTTGTGTGCTTCAGCAGCCCTTTTTCAGGCTTTTCCTCCTGCCCTTGTGGTTATGCCTTGCACTGGTTCAGTAATTACTCAGGATCAGTACTGCTCTCCATTTGCATGCTGACCCTTAGGAACACTGGAGGGAACAAGCAGGAGCAGTGCAGGAAGCCTGAATCACAGAGTTCAAAAAGTGGTGGTTCTGGGTGCATGTGCAGTGTTTCAGGGTTTAATGATGTCCTTGGTATCTTTTCCAGTGCTGTGGTCATGTTTCTGGTGGAGGAAGTCCAGAGGAACATTTTTGATCAGCGATGTGTAGAAAATGAGCTTTGGAACAGGTAAAGGTTGAATTCTTCTGGGCTGGGAAAGGAAGGAGATGGTACAGTTTTGGAGAAGTGAGGCAGAGTAAACTGCTGGCAGATCGTGGTGGTTCCCTCAAGGCAGTTTGTGGGGTGTCTCCAGGCTCTCCAGCAGGCGCGGCGTGGTGGTGGGAGGGGAGCAAGTAGCAGGCTGGGGAAAGATGGAGGTGTGCAGAACCCGTTTGCTTTATACTTTGTCACCTACTCAAGGATAAAGTCAAAACACTTTATAGTTTCTGGGACTGTGCGAGGGCACATTGTGGTATGTAACGGGGCAGACTTTATCTTGGACTTCTCTATGATCTGTTACGCAGCTGTTCCTTTGGTGGCCTCCTGCCTAGCCTCAGCACCCACCTGCATCGTCTCACCAACCTCCCAAGCCTCTCACTAGCTCTTTTCTGGAAATACCAGTAGCCATCAAAGCCCCTGGTCTCCAGGGCTGATTCCTTGCTGATTTTGTGTCTGTATAGTCCTCAGAGCTGCACCAGTGATTAAACGAGTTAATAAGGGGCAGGGTGGGGTTAATGAGCGTCCTGCTTGCTCTCTGGCTTGGGATGGGACACGGGGCATTTCATAAAAGCTTAATAACGAAGCTTCAAACCCATTGTGAAAGATCTGGGCAAAGTAAGCAATGCAGCAGTGGGGTAAAGACCTTGGAAGAAGGAAGGGTTTTGACAAGGTCTAGACGTGAGCCTGAGCTGGAGCCGTTGGAGCTGCATCTTGTTGTGTCTCCAGATCAGCAAGTCCACACTGCCGCTGTGTGGAGGAAGGACTGCAAAGCGTGAAGGAGATAAAACATGCAGGAAGTGTCCGTCCGCAGCTTGTGGCTTTGAAGCCAACAGTGAATGAATCTGTTGTATAGGACTAAAAAAACCTCCAAAATACTGACTTCTCTTAGAAACACTTCAGTAGATGAAAGCTAAGTATGGAATAATCCAAGGTGTTTGGGCACATGTTCTGCTTCCTGCAGTGTTTGGGCTGGAGAATAGATCAGGTGCTAAAAACAGGGACTGACTCAGCCTGTAGGGTGCCTCCTGCTCCATAGTACAAAGCCTGAGGTTATTTGTGAAGGAACCTACAGACCCTCCTTGCTGCAGCCTCTGGTTCCACCTGGGATTTCTAGCTCTAACTTCCAGCCTGGTGACTATCCTGTTCCTCTCTTCACAGGAATATTCGGGTCATCAGGAGGCGATTCCGAGATGTGTTTGAAAATGGGTCTCTGGATGATGCCAAGAGGCTGTATATGTGAGTATGAGCCAAGGTGCGCGTTCCTGGTCGTGTGTTGGGCACACAGGGCTGCAAATTGGAATTTGCAACCAAAGCTGGTGGTATGTTTTGAGTGTAAATAGTGTCTTTCTGAGTAAAGCAGTTCTCTTCTGTACTCCATACTGCTGCTTCCCCTTAGAGCTGAAGTGATTTTGTTTTCACAGTGGTGAGATCTGGCATGCACACATCAGTCCCTTACAGCTGGAAACATATTTCCCTCCTTCAAGCTGCAGCCTTTGGAGCTTTGCAGGATCTTTACTTCCCCCACATACATTTGCTATGAAAATTCCTGGCTGTTTCAGAGGCTTCCACAAAGATATTTACTGCTTACCATTCACATGATGCTCTGCCAGCAGGAGTTGGGCTGGGTTATTGGTGCTAGAGGAGGAGGTATTACATGTCTGTGTGGTATCTGTTGGGTTTGGATGCACTCAGCATCTTGCCCACTCCCTGTTGAGGTCAGGGCGTGCGGGTCGCAGACAGTTGGTCCCAAGTGTGACATTCGTCCTATTTCCAGGGTAATGTGCTTGGAGCTGTGCAACCTAAAGGAAGACGTGATTTCATGACAATGTTTTTTCCTTAGTTAGGCTAATTTTTCCACAGTTTGACCTTTGGTGCCTCAGCTGTGTTGAATTAACAAATACATTTATCATTGCCAGACATTTAAGGGGAAAGTGTATCTGCTGTACTTCCTCCAGAGCATCCCCTCCCATTACTGGTGAATGCCTTTACAGTTACACTGCCCAGCTGCCAGCAGTTTCTGTACTGCTTTTCCTGACCACACGCACAGATTGTGTGGCCAGAGCTCGGGGGTGCAGTGCTGGGGGTGTGCTGGTGCCTGGGCAGGTGGTTGAATTGATGTCCTGTCTTGAATTGTCACCAGAGAAGGACCCTGTTCCCTCCCAGCTTCTAGAACCTCCCAGGCCTGGCTCCCAGGGGTGAAAGCTGTTAAAAAGTTCTTACCTCCCTGCTGAGCTGGCTGCCTGAATTATTGAGACTTTGGTTAGTCAGGGCAGAGGCCAGATGTCAGCTCTCTGTGTCTCAGGACAGGGGAAGCCAACTGGGGCTCTGTGGAGCAGAGCCAGGGCTTGCAGTCCTCTTCGTTCCCTGGCAGAACTGGCCAGGAGCAGAACAGCCCAGGAGGCCAAGGAGAGGGGGCAAATGCTGCAACGCGTTGTTTGCCTGACCCTGGTGCCAACCCCCTTAGTGCTGGGGAGTTTGGGCAGAGGCAGGCAGGGACTGAGCTGGTTCTGTAAATGCCTCTGGTTTCCGTTCCAGGGATGGCCAGGAAGTAGCAGTGGTGTACTACAGAGAGGGCTACGTGCCAAAGAACTACGACCAGCAGGTCAGTACTGACCACTCTGCTCCCAGAAGCTGCCCACGCTGCAGCCTTACCCAGCCAGTTTGAAACGCCCCCTGATCCCAGGGGGGTTAGTCCTGTGCGTAGCGTGGCTGGTAGCACTGGGAAGCTGTGACTCTGCAGTGCATGTGGATGTCCCTAGCACTTGTGCAGTGAGAAAAGTGGCTTTCTTTTCCAGTAACCGCTGTGGTGACTTCTTACCGCAGCACTGAATTGCTTCTGTACAATGTGAGTTAACACAGGTATTAGCACCTGCTTGAAGGGTTTAGGCTTGACCTACAGATCACAGTCTGTCCTCTACTAGGACTATTAGGCTGCAGGTAATAATAATACAGACAGGATCTTGCTGTTGTCTGGAGGTGGCAGCACTGGACAAGCTGGGGAAGGCGGTTCAGGCAAAGGCAGTGGAGTAACCTGGCTGTGCTGTTTCCAGAGGTGGTGGGAAATCCGCGTATGCTTGTCTCAGAGTGCTGTTCCCACCCCTCATCCTGGCCAGGCAGGGAGGGAGGAGGCAAGTTGTATGAACAGAGTGAAGAAAAGTTGTTTTTTTTCCTTGCTGATGGGATGGTTTATCTCTTTCTGTCTCAGAACTGGGAGGCACGATTGTTGCTGGAGAGGTCGAGGGCAGTGAAGTGCCCTGACATTGCTACCCAGCTCGCAGGCACCAAGAAGGTCCAGCAGGAGCTGAGCCGGCCAGGGACTCTGGAGAGGTTACTGCCTGGCCGCGCTGAGGCTGTCGCTCGAATAAGAGCAACATTTGCTGGACTCTATTCCCTGGACGTGGTGAGTGTGAGCAGGGCTGGAGCAGGAGTGAACATGCAGGTGTGTGCTTGGCCTTTGTGATGTTTCTCTTTGGTTTAGGTGATGAGGGGCCTTTGTTGTGGTCCCTGGGAGACCCTGTTGATCCTGCTCAGAGGGGTCTGTTGAGGAGCTGCTGCTCTTCCCTGATGTTTTGCTGTTTCCATCCTTTCCTACCAGGGCGAAGAGGGTGACAAGATAGCTGCTATGGCTATTGCTGACCCCGACCGGTTTGTGCTGAAGCCGCAGCGAGAAGGTGGAGGTAGGAGCTGGATGGGCTCCCTGTGGGTTTTCACTGCAGTTTGCTGTATCCAGGAGGGGCAGTAGCTCTGATAGCTCCTCGTCCTGTGCTGAGGGATAAAAGGTGGGGTGGGGTGGCATGTAGCTCCTTGTAGCCCCGGGGACTAGCCATGGCAGTAAGGTAGTGCTGTTCCTGGAGGAGCTCTGAGCAGCCCAGGCAGCACACGGGGAGGCAGAGGCTGGGTCTGCTTGAGCTGCCGGGGCTGCCTATGCCAAGGGCTTCTGCTGTGCTGTGCTGGGAAGTGCTTGATTTGTGGTTTTGTTGTCAGGGAACAACCTCTATGGTGAAGAGCTCAGGCAGGTTCTGGAGAAGATCAGAGACAGCCCTGAGAGAACCTCCTACATCTTGATGGATAAGATCAAACCACAGCCAGCACTGAATTACTTGCTGAGGGCTCACAGTCCCCTACAAGCATCCGAGTGCATCTCGGAGCTCGGTATTTTTGGTGTCTATGTCAGGTAAGAAATGTGCTTGTGCTGGGGGGTGGTTACCTGCTCCAGCGGGCACTTGGGTTGGGAGCATTTTCTTCTCTGTGCTGGCTCAGCCCGGCAGCAAGCGGATGTCTCTGGGGAGGTGGAGGTACAGTGGACAGACATGACCCTTCAGTCTCTGCCCGTCAGCAGTGCTCTGAGCACCGTGTTCAGGTGCTGGACTGCTGCTCCACACCTGCTGCCAAAGAACTTGAAAAACCTCAGAGCTGGTGCTGGCAGATACTGGTGTAACAACCATGTGGAACTGGTGTGTCTCACCCCTGATTTCTGGGAGCACTTCTCAGGTTCTGGATGCAGCCACATGGTTTTCTAAAGCCCTGGCCATCTCGGAAATGTCTGAAGCCTTAATGGGGTCATGTTCAACCCTGAATAGCTACTGCTTTTGTTTAAAACCCTCATAGAAATATTTCCATAGCTTATAAATTAAAGTCCTTCTTGTACAATTTTAGAAACAAATGTACTCTGGCAGTGTTCAGAGCTTGACATCAGACCAGAACAGCCCAGCTGAGGGAGGGAACTGTTGCTCCCAGGCACAGCTCTGTTGTCTGCAGAGGCCCCAGGGCTTTTATGTGTTGGTTACCTGCCCTGCGCTGCAGCAGGGAACGTGAATCCCGTTGTCCAACATGAAATGCCATGAGCTTTATGCTCTGCCAGTGCTCAGTTGCCCTTTTCTTCGCAGACAGGGCAAGGAGATGGTGATGAACAGGGCTGCTGGCCACCTCCTGCGGACGAAGGCAGTGGAGCACGCGGACGGCGGGGTGGCAGCGGGGGTGGCGGTGCTGGACACTCCGTACTTGGTATGAGGAGGCAATGCCCCTTCCCACCCACCCTGCTCTGCTGCCTCAGGAGCTGCTCTGCCCCAGGGTGTGCTTACTAAGGTCTGACGTGTTGGGGGCTGAGGAGGGACTGTGTGGACACGACTGCTTCAATGTCCTGTGTGCCAGCCCCAGCTTCTCCTCTGCAGGAAGAAGGGACTGCCTCGCTCTGCCTGCTCATGGCGCCCCAGTGCTCTGGGTGTTCCCTGGGCTCCAGCTGGCAAAGCTGAAGGGGGAGTGTGCTATCACAGGCACTCACACTGTTCCCAGTTTTGTGCTCCTTGATGCTGCATTATTTCTGGAGCTGGGGTAACCCAAAGCCTGGGGAATGGGAAGAGAAAGGCGGATGTGCAAGTACCACTCTCATCTCTGGGTTTTGTAGCCCAGTACCTCAGTGCCTCCAGGTTAAAGAGGGGAGCCCAGCTCCACCTGCCCCTGGCCCTTTCTGCCCTCCTTCAGCTGCTGCTGCTGCTGCCCTGAGGGTCCTCAGGGTTCCTGCATAGGGGGCAGCTGCCCTGGTGGAATTTGCCCAGGGGCTTCTTGCTTGCTTTAGCTTTGCCCAATGCCTTGGGTACCCATCCCTGGCAGTGCCTGTGCTGCACAGGGCAGGCAGCAGCACAGACTGGGGGGGGGCTGCACTTGCTCCCACCCTCCCCCCTGCAGCCTTGTATCACAGCCAGCATGTGGAGAAACCCCCCAGTCCCCTAGGGCTTGTGTCAGTGCACCCCAGTCCAGCACTGAGCCTCTCCTGTGGCACATGCAGCCCCAGAGTGGTGTTGGGGAGCCCTGACTTCAGTGCTGGGCCTTGGTGGGGGCTGGAACTGGGGGTTTCGTAGTGAGGAGGCAGAGGAAGGGGAGAGGTGGAGCGAGACCAGCCCCAGTGGAGGGTGAGATGTGTCTCCCTCCAGGTTTCATGAATTGGTGGAACAGTGCAGTGGTGGGGGAGGGGGAGCAGTGTGAGGTCTCCTTCCCAAGGTCCAGCCCCTCTTCCTCCTCAGCCAAGCAGGTCAAGGGGAAGCGTAAACGATGCATCTTTCTGGCAGTGCCATGGTGGAGCACCCCGGGAGCTTCAGCTCTGCCCTTCCTGTGAGCAGCAGTGTGGAGCTGTGCTGAGTGCCTTGCTGCTGGCACTGTGCTCCAACCCTGGCCTTTCACCCTGGGAGGAGTTCAGTTCTGTACGTGTGACTGATCCTGTGTTTTGCTGGGGGGTTGATTGCTCCCAGCTGGAGATTAAAACGTATGTGCAATCTGACTGCTGTGCTTACACCAGTTCTGTCTTGAGATGAGACACAAAGGGGAGGCATTTGCCTCCTCCCTGGCCAGGGGTGGCTGTGGGGTAGCTGGGGCTGAAGCCAAACCCCCACTTTCTGCTCTCCTTGCTGCCAGGCTGCACAGCTCCACGCTGATTTGTCCTGGCCCTGCAGGCCCAGCGCAGCCATGGGAGGAAGGCGGCATGTGCAGTGCAGAGCTGTGCCTCTGCCTGTGCTGGAGGAGAAGGAGAGCACTGGAACATGGCCTGGGAGGTGACACAGACCAGACATGGGGGTTTATGATGCTTTCCCTGAGCCTCTGTGGACTGATGCTGGCTGGAGACCAGGGAGAAACTGAGGCACAGGCTCGAGCCTGGCCCTGGAGCTGCTGCCTTCCCAGTGCAGGGCAGTACAGCCTGAGGCAGAGAGCAAGACCCAGTCCATGAAAAATCCTCACACCAGCAGTAACCCACCCCTCCCCAACAGCCTGCCCCCATTACAGCAAGACAAGCACCACATGCACACTTCTAAGCCTGTTTTCCATTTTGTTTCCTTGAATTTTATTCCATTTTGCATAAAATTCCAGCTGTTTCCAGCCAAAATTACATAGTGAACAAAGAGTAACAGAGGAGGAGAGATGATGCCAGAATCCTTGGGAATAAGGTGGCCAAGCCACTGGTAGAGAGGTGTGGGGGCATGAGGACACAGGCAGGTTCATAGATCCCAGACAGGTGCTGTGCTGGTGGGAGCAGCAGGTGAGAGAGGAGACTTGGGCCTTGGAGAGCAACCCAACACCTGCCCTGAGCAACCAGCCCCTGAGGCAGCTGCCTCAACCTTTCTAGCCCAGCCCAAAGTCATCTCACTCTGAAGGTAAAGCCTGGATGTTGGCATTCACCAAAACAGCTGTTGCAACAAGTTTTAAAGCCCATTTCTCCTCTGGTTTAAGTGCAAAATCAAAACAGCTCACATGCAGTTTTCATACAGACACTACAAAGGAGGTAACTCCCAGCTCAACCCTGACTGGAGTTAAATGTAACTCATTTGAAGGGCTCTGGCAATACCCTTGTGCTGTTCAGGCTCCTGGGCTAGAGGTTGTGGGTTTTTTTCCACTCATCATCATAAAGCCATGTTAAACATCTTCCACCACTTTTTTCCTGACAAGAAAACATAATCTAGGACTACCATAGCCCTGCCTGCCTTGGTTTCTTTGCTGTAGCAGTGGTCATGGTGCACTATAACCCAGCCTGTGGCTTGCCTGCAGTGGGACAGGGGCCTCTGCAGCTTTGTTTCCCCTCCCTCCTCCGCACCAACAGCCCCCACTCCTGCCTCAGGACACAGAAGATGCATCCAGCTGTGCAGCCCCTCCTTCAGCCCAGAGCAGGTGGCAGCGAGGCTGTGGAGCACATCAGACCGACTTCATCCAGACCAGATGTGGGGTCCCTCATGTCCAGGGCAGTGAAGGGACCCAGATTGGGGAAAACACACCAGGTGGCACCATGCAGTTCAGAAGCAGAAGATCTTGGTACTAAATTGCTCCAAAAGCTCTGTTTAAAGCACAGTGCTCCCTTGAGCCTCACCCCACTCCCTCTGCTAGCAACGGGCCTGGACAGTGGATGCAAGACTAAAACTCAGCTGTACACTTATGATGTGAGTGTTTTTAAGTTCTCTTGCAGCATTCCACAAAGACAAGCAAGCTTAGCTGGCATGTGGGCAGTGGCAGCTGCACCTCCCTTGCCCACCTGCACTGAGTAACTCCAGCACCACTTCTCCAATCCTCACAGTTCCTTCCCACTGTGTGCAAGATGCCAGGGCCTCCCAATTACATAAAATTAGCATCCCACTCCCCCAAATAAAATTAAAAATCAAGAACGAGGTGCTGAAAAGGGAGGAGGAGTCATCCCTCTGTGCACGAGGCTGAACCTCTAGAGGTATGACACCCATCCGGAACACGACACGCACCCTCCTCTGAGGCATGGACACACTAGAGACACGTCCTCTCCAGAGCCAACCCTCCTCGTTCGTAACATTTGTACATTCAACCCAAGAGATGAAGGTTTCCTTCCCAGGGCAAACAGCGGTTGTTCAAGGGACCTGCTCATCAGGACACTGCTGCTGCTACAGTTCTGCTCAGCAGGGACAGGTCACACAGCTACTGTTTTGTGTCACATCTGTTGTTGAAAAGATGTTTTATGATGCCTGGGTTTGCCAAGGTGGAGATGTCCCCCACCTCTTGGTCGTTTTTGGCAATCTTCCGTAATATCCGTCTGGTAATCTTTCCTGTAATAACAGACATGAAAGGGAAGCACAAGTCAGGATCTCTTCAGCATCCTCAGCAGGAGTGGGGAGTGCCCAGACCTGCAGCATCCTGCTTGCCCCGAGGTTGCTCTCCCCTGAATTTGCGTGGCCCTGGACATGGAACTGGGGGCCTATTTCCTCCCACTGGCAGGAACTGCTCAGTCCTCCCCAGCACTGTCACTACGCCCCTTACCTGAGCGGGTTTTGGGCAGGCTAGGGGCATACTGGATGTAATCAGGCGTTGCTATCGGTCCGATTTTTTCTCTGAAAAAAAAAAAAAAAAAAAAAAAAAAATTTTCATTGTAGGTACACTAGGAGATACCACACATGTCCTTTTCGGGTAGGGTGACCAAGTTCAGACATGCAGAGCCCAGAGAACATGGTAGGGCAGCACTTAGGGCTGCTGCACCCCAGCTTCCAGGCTGTGTGAGCAGGCAGCAAGACAGGGCTAATGGCGCTGTCGTGCCAACAGGGCTATAAGCACATCTTCCCAAAGGCAAGAGCGCTCATCCCCGAATTCTCTCCACCTTCAAGAGACCCCTGTAATGGCTACACCAATTACTATTGCCATTTTGATAGAGCAAGGGCTGATTCACCTACAAAGAGGAGACTGCTGTGGGTCCATTTTGCATATTAAATGCTGCAGCCTGTTGTGGCAATGAAAGAGCTCCCTTGAAACCAGAGCACAAACACCCAGAGCGTTACCCCAAGGCAACCAAACAATCCTCACAGCAAGCTGCAATCCGCCAGGGAGAGCAGTGGGAGGCATGTCCCCACAGGAGAGCACTGCTGCAAACAAAAGCCGGCCAGATACCTCAGTCCTTCACAGGGCTGCCAGCTCCCAAGAGGTAGAGGTGGCATCACATGAGCAGCCAAAGGCTGGGAGAACTAATTTTAGTCTTCGCCAGCCGTGCTCTCTAATCAGAGGGGGCACCTTGTCGCAGTTGTCCACGCTGCATTCCCCAGACTACATGCACCCTCCTTCAGGCACCCAAGCCCTTAACCCCTCCACCACCCACTCAGCACTGTTCTCCCTCTCCCTGCCACAGAATCTCCCAAACATTTGGCTGCTGTTACCTTGTTTTTTCAGCTCATCCGTCAGGTTCTTGGTGAACTCTTGGCCATCTTTCAGGGTCACAAAGCAGTAGAGGCACTCGCCTTTCAGGGGGTGCGGGTGGCTGACCACTGCAGCCTCCGAGACGGCACCATGCTCCAGCAAGGCCGACTCCACCTCCGCAGTGCTCAGCAAGTGGCCTGGAAGCAAGGAGAGGCAGCGCTTTACAGACCCACCCGGGGCTGGGGTCCTGCAGCCTCCCAGCAGCTGGGAGGGGGAAGAGGAGGAGGAGGAGGAAGAGGTCTGCAGGTCTAAAAGGCCCTAAACTATAGGTCTGAGAGCATCGATTTCATTTGCTTGAGAAAAGACAACAGTTGGAGAGAGAAACTCGTTTCAGCAGTGCAGGGGCTGGGCTGCCCCAAAGGCTGCCAGGTATCACTGACCTGCAGAGCAGGGCCACCCCCCATGGCTGTTCTCCCACCCGCCTTTTGGCTTCTTTCTTTAACAGATCATGAACTGTTCACAGCCGTGGGATTAAACAAAGCACAGGCTGAGAAGGATCTGGATTTGGTAAAAGGAGACCTGCCCACAGGGTCAGCTGGAAGGTGAAGAGGAAGAGGCTGGATCTGCAAGAGCCCAGGAACCTGCCCTGCCATGCACTGATGAAACGATGCTCCACAGCTCAGGGCAGGGGCACAACTCACTCCTGTACTCCTCTGCTCCTTTGCTCTGGGATTGCGGCCACAGAAAACCATGGGAGGGTGGTCAACTCCCAGAATGATCAGCTGGTAGAGGATCAAGCAGTGCTGGTCAGATGAAAGGATCTAGTTTGATCCAAGGACAAGTACAGCAGTATCTCACAGCCACCAGTAACTGCCTGTAGGTTACAGCCTCCAGGAAAGGAGGGAGGGAGCTACTAAGTGCACTATATGGACAATGATGTGCTGAGAAGCAGCTGAATCTCAAAGAGAAGTGGGAAAATGTCCACCTCTGTAGACACAGCTCCAAGCAGCCTGATCCAGCTTCAAGGTTAGCCCTACACGGAGCAGCAGGTTGGATTAGGGACCACATAGTCCTGCCTAACCCCTGTGATTCCCTGTGGCCCTAAATCCTTCAACACAGAGGTACCTTGGCTGCTTAAGGACTTCCTCTAAGAGGTTACAGAGTGCATTATCTCTAGAGGAAATGATACAGAAAGTCACCAAGTCACAGACTTGTCTGTCTCAGAAATAACCCTGACCCAGCAATTAGATCCATTTTGATGACAGGTTCCTGGGCAGTCACAGATGCAGAACCATCCCCCATAAAGTAAGGTGGCTTTTTTAACTAGTGTCAGAAGCAGATGCAGAAGTGTCCCCTATAAAGCAAGGTGTCTCTCAACTAGTGTCAGAAAGCACACTGGTCCCCACTGAAGACAAAACTTGTTCTTACCAGAAACATTCAACATGTCATCAATTCGTCCTGTGATCCAGTAATAACCATCTTTATCTCTCCTGCAACCTAAAAATAGCCAGAAATGACAGCATGAGGAAGCAGTGCCAGCCCTCACAGCAACTGATAAGAGATTCTGAGGCCAGGACATGGCAAAATTTAAACTGCTATCCCCAGGCCTCTACAGCCACGGACAACCTTACCGTCGCCTGTCACATAGTACCCAGGGAACTTCTTGAAGTACGTCGTTTCAAACTGCTGGTGGTTTCCATACAGTGTGCGCATTATTCCTGGCCAGGGCTGCTTAAATACCTGATGGTGAAACACGCAGACTGGAGTCAGCGAGAGCAAAACCAGTAACCCAGGCTTTGCACCAGGGGGACAGACACATGTACAGGCTTTGCACATGGTGGCAGAGGTGCTCAAGACAGCCCTGAGTGAGGACACTCAGACACTTGCTGCCCAGTGCTGATCTCCTGGGAAAGTCTTGCCAAGCTTGGCATGGGGGAAGGAGCTTGGCTGAGAAGATGTTCCCGTCCTGCCTTGCCCACGTGCACAAGTGCATTTAACAATTGGCTGCACAGTTTGTTTACAGCACGAAGCTCCCAGAGAGTTATGGCAGTGATGGGGCCCCTTGTGTGGGCCCAGACAACACGGAGACATGTGTACGCTACCAGGAATGTCTTGGAGCTCACGGGGAACAGATAAGGGGAGGGTGGGGAAGATCAGCCCTTCTTTACCAGGTAGCCTTCTGCTTCTCCTTCCAGCTCTTCCCCCGACTCATTCAAGATGGCAGGAACCACACCGAAGAAAGGGAACGTCTGCCAAGGGGACATGGAGGTGAGCCCACGCATTAAAACCCCACGAAGCAGAGGGAGCAGGTGGAGAGGCTGTGGCACACGAGGCCTGTGAGTGCAGCTGCATGGGGCCAGGCCTGGGATTTTGGGTGGTGGTCACCGCCCCACATGCACCACCGTCCCACAGCCACCCCAGCAGGCTGGGAACCACCAGGCCACAGTACAGACAGGTGAGCTGCTGCACCTTCCTGTGGCCCCGAGGATCCCTCCCTGCCCCGGGCAGCAGAACACAGTACTCACAGCAGAGCCTGGCTTCATAGGGGTGGCAGCAGGAAGGGGTGTCAGCATGTGGCCACCCTGCAAAGACAGGCAAAAACGAGTGAGTTTGGGCCATGCCAGCACATCCCACGGCTGTTTGCATGGGCTCTGGTCACATCCCAGACAGACACAGGCTGATGAGGCCTTGGGAAGGACAGGGAGCCTGTGTTTAGGTGCAAAGCTTTGGAGCAGCTGGGGAGAAAAAGAGGGCGAAGAGAGCAGGGTCCAGAGCAGACCTTAGCAGGGACCCTTTGGAGAGGAAGGTTTCCCCTTAGAGCCTGTTTGAGGTCCAGGAAAGAAAGAAAGAGAAGGGTAATCCACACTTGTGGGCCACACCAGAGTCTCCTGGGCAAGCAAAACAACTAGTCCACACAGAACCAAAAGACACACAATGGCAAACCTGCAAAGACACCCTGGGGGGAGCACAAGGGAGAGAGGGGCCCCGGCAACACCCAGGCAAGAACTCACTGTCTCTGTCTGCCAGAACGTGTCCACAACAGGACACCTCTCTTCTCCCACCACGCGGTAGTACCACAGCCAGGCTTCAGGGTTGATGGGCTCGCCGACGCTCCCCAGCACCTTCAGAGACTTCCTGCTGTGCCTGCAGAGAGGAGGGGGGTGGCAGGGGCTCAGCAGGCCATGGAGAGCAGCAGCTGTGAGCCTGCTGCACAGCAGAGCCTGCAGGAACCCCTGGGCTAACCAAAGTTTCTTGGGGTTTCCAGGCATGGCTCAGACCCTTCTCAGGCCTCTTCCAGGGGGGAAGAAAGGAGACCTCTGATTTTGGTGTCTCCCACTCCAAGCTCCCACTTGGCTCTGCTCCTTCCCTCCCTTGGGCCAAGGAGCAGCACACACAGAGTCTCTCTGCCCAACACACCTCTGTCAGCATTGCGTCAGGAGCAGGGAGAACCCGCAACCTCTAAGCTTAGCTGCAGCTTACGGTGAAAGAGGAGGACCTGCTCAGGAGTGCCATAACGAACTTAGTGCTGAGAGTGCAGAAACATGGCCTGCATGTTGCTGTGTAGAAGGCAGAAGATCCTGGTCTGTTCAGAAAACATGCTGGGGAAGCTGCTGTTCAGAGGAAGCTGGGGCCCCCAGTCCCCTGTCAGGAGCCTCTGGCTGGGCCAGAGCCAGGGATCCCCACGCCACTGGGGACTGTCACTCACTTTTTGACAGGCTCCTCCCCGTGCTTCATCAGCAGCCGGATGGCTGTGGGTGCTGTGTAGAACTTGGTCACCTTGTACTTGTCAACAACGCTCCACATTCGCCCAACGTCTGGGTAAGTGGGGACACCTTCAAACTGAGCAGGAGACAGGGCAGTGACACAGCTGTTCCTTACTGCTGCCAACCTGCAGCACCTTCCTGAGCAGGAGGAGCCGAGAGCAACAGGGAACCGCAGCTGGAGCCCAGCGTGTCCTTAGAGGAACGCCAGGGGCACCACACAGTGAAACCAGCCAAGACCAGGGATCTCTTACTGCTTTCCCTGGCATGGATTTGGTATCACCCCACCCCAGGTGTCTTAGCAAACATCGCCCTAAACACCCCAGCAGCATGGGCACTTGGGTGGCTACCAGTGACACAGTCCTACCAGCCCAAGTGACCCTACCCACACGGTTCAGGGCAAGAGGTCCAAACACAGTGACAGAACCACAACCAGAAGTACCAAGAACCCCAACAAGGACTCCCTCAACATGACAGTGATCCCTCTGCTTGCATTTCCCCAGGGACAGGCCTCTGGGTCCCTGGTATGTATACAGGTCACAGCCATACACTGCCAAGGCACAGGAGTTAAATGCAGGTTGTCAGATCAGCATCAGCAGTGAAAACATCACTCCCTGCTCCTGATCCAGCTTTCTCATTACCCCACAGCAGCCCTGGCTTCCCTGCTACACAAGGCTTGTACTTCCAAGGAAAAGAAATGGGAGCATTTGAAAGACTAACCACCCAAAAACCACACACAAACTAGCCATCCCCATCTGCCACCAACCAGTCCCCCACACCCTCCTTGGGGACCACCACCCTTCCTCACAGAGCCCAGGGCACTGTGCACAAGTGAGAACCAGACTCATCACAGAGCAATACAGGGATGCAGCTCAGCACCACGATCTCCACTTTCTTGGAGTAAAAGCACCCGCTGCCATCCAACACTTACTAACACACTAGTTGCCCCGTTTGCCAAGGGTCCATAAGTGAGGTAGGAATGGCCTGTTATCCATCCAATGTCAGCTGTGCACCAGTAGACATCCTCAGGTTGGTAATCAAACACATATTTAAATGAGGTGGCAGCATAAAGCATGTATCCACCCACCGTATGCAGCACACCCTACAAGGAGAAGGCACATGACTATCAGGGCAAGCTCCCACCAGGCCCTCACCCTCCCCTCCAAGCTGAGCATCACCAGTTCACTGAGCAGGAACAGCAGCTGAGCAGGAGCAACCAGCACAGCTCCTTTCCCAAGACCTCCATGGCTCCTCTTCTTACTGGGGCTTCCCAGCGTGACCCTCACCAGCTCCCACAGCTGAGGCGTGGCTGGGGTTCAGCCTGGCCTGCGGCAGGGAGCGTACCTTGGGCTTCCCAGTTGAGCCGCTTGTGTAGAGGATGAAGAGTTCGTCCTCCGCGTCGCACCACTCGGGCTCACACTCCGTGCTGGCACTGCTCATCAGCTCATGCCACCACACATCCATAGCTGGGTTCCAGGGGGTCTGAGAAAAGTAGAGGATTAGAAACAGGCCCACACAAAAGCAAGAGAGAGGCGGACAAGGGGTGCAGCCCCCATCTCCCCCCCTCATGGACTATTGAGGCAGATGTTCACAGCACAGCTCCTGCCCCCGAGCTGTTTGCTGCAAACCATGCACCAGAGCTGCAGCTCTTACTCCAGAAGCTCCTTTTCGCAGCTCACAGCCACAAGGAAAAACCTTTAAACACAGTCTGGCTGCAAGACCTGAAGCAGATTGTCCAAACCACTGGTAACGCTGATAAATCCCTCGCAGCAGCAGCAGCCAGGAGAGGGCCTGCAGCAGCAGCTGCTCTGCGCTCTCACAGCAAACAGGCTCCTCCTGCCCTCCTGGGCTGCCCGAGCTGTGGCTGAGCAGCAGAGCAGCAAGCCTGGCTTAGCACAGCCACACGCCCAGTGGTCCTCCACGCCTTTCAGGGACCCCTGTGGCAACATGGCCTGGGACAAACAGGACATGTTGGGCTCACACTGCTTGATCTGAAAAAATCTGTTACCCAGATCTTAAGGTAATCACCCCGATAAGAAGTGACTGCTCCAACACAAAGCCACCCAGCACTGGCCACCCAAAGGAGCTGCTTGAGGACACCAGAGCTGTAACAGAGCCACCAACGCTTGTGGCTGATGGGCAGAGGTTGCCCCAAGACTCGTGCTGGCTGGCTACCTCTCCGGGGCGGCGCAGTTCAGTGCAAGATGTAATGCTGGCTGACCTCCTCACCTTTCCTCAGAGGAGCCTGGGGGCAGCTGAGTGGGCAACACTCCTCAGCCTCAGCAGAACTCCACTTTCCACATTTCTGTGAGAGCAGACACGCTGACCCAGAGCCCTGCAGCTTCTAGCTGGGGCACTTCTCCTCCTTACTGAGCTAGAGCCCATTGCACAGCCTGCACAGAGTCCCCAAAATTGGTGTGCATGGAGAGCAGCCACAGGGTCACACAGCGACCCTCTGCAGCCCTAAAGATGTGCGTGTGCCATTTGGAGGCACCGAGACCCCACGGCCCAGCACGCAGCTGCTGCACACGTGATGCCAGGGACACTAGCTGCTTGACTGCCTGGCACAACCAAGCCCACCTGGAAAGCTCTCACAGACCCCCAGGGCTCATGGCTTTACCTGGGGAAGCAGATTCTACAAGTCTGTCCCACCAGGAAGCTTTGAGCCAGGCACCAGGTTAAACAAACCCAAGGTAGGCTCACACCCATCCAACAGTTCATTTTGTGCATCCCTCCTTCCAGGATCCCTCCATTTTAGCACACACGTTCCACTGCCCCACAGAAGAGGCCAGACCCATTGGCTTGGCACACAGCCCCTGAGGCCACAGCTCCTTGGATGGACCAGGCAGAGACCAGGTCTGGAGCTCCGGGTTTGCTGCCCACAGCACACTGCTGCAGCCGGGAAGCCGCGGGCGGGCGATCCCTGCCAGCCTCACCCCGAAGGGAAGTGCCTTGTGAGAGCTGCTTTAAAAAGGCAGAGAAGAGAACCATCACCCAAACACTGCCAGCGCATCCCAGTAGTTCTGCATTTCCCCCCATCAGCACGCCGACGTGCACTCAGGGGGTTTTATGAATGCAGATTTGCTTCCAGCAGCAAAGTTGGTGGCACTGCATTCACCCTGAAACTGTGGGGAGCTCTGGCCAAGCAGCAAGTGGGATCTACCACTAACATGCAACTGCTGGTAACCTGGTTAGGAAGGCATGTGTGGCCGTGCAGAGTCAGAGCAATTAGGAAGGTGGAGCACCAGAGGGGGAAGCAGAGGGGATGTGCCACAAGGAGAAAGGCAGTGCTGTGTGTAAATACCTTGGGATGGAGTCTTTGTGAGATTTCAGTCTTTTTTTCCTGTTAAAAATCCATAAAGAGGGTGTGAAAGTTGAGAAGCGGAGGATCTGCACTGGACTTTGCAGGCAGGGAGCTGGAAGCCCACAGGCCCAGAAGCTGGGAAACCATCCCAGCGGGCTGGAGAGCACAGGGGCCAGGTCAGGAGATGCCCTCTGAGCAAAAGCCTGCCTGCTTCCATCACCTCCCCTGGGTACTCGCCCCTCCACGGCAGGTCGCAGAGGCCACCCCCTGCACATGGCCAGCTGGGTACAGAGGCACAGAGCCGACATACAGCCCACAGACCGTCCAACAGCCTCACACAAGCCAACAGCATGGTAACAATGTGCTCACAAGGGAAGTCAATCTTTATTAAAGTGTCTGAACAAGTAGAGCAGCAACAGCCAAAGGGTAAGAGACCCCCTCCAGCCTCCTCCTGGGCCATTCTGCACAACAACCTCACCTCACCAAGAGCGGCCAGCACAGGGACAGGCTTCTGCAACCACCCGACTGGGGAAATCGGAAATCTCACACAGCAAGGCTGTTCTGCTCCAGTTTTCCCACCCCTTTGCCCTACCCTGCCCTTGCAAGAGAAAGGGTAGAGGAGGCCAACGTAACACAGCCAGGTTGGCAAACACTGAGCAACACCTCAACAAAATTACCACAGCTGAACGAGGAAAATTAACTCAGGCATCAGAGTCTGATGGACTTCTTGTTTCAGGGATGTGCACAGACCATCCCTTCTGAAAGCAGAGCCCAAAGCACACATGCTCCCCAAATACAACCCATTTCTGAGCAAGCAGTAGCCTGGGCATAACCCAGTGTAAATAATCACCAAACACACAGGGACAGAACACACCACTGCAAGACACGGAGCTGTCAGGTAGCTGTAAGGAGCCTGCCTTCTAAGCAGATGAAGGCAGCAGGTAGCTGCTGGGTCCCAGCCTGCACATCAGCCTCAGGAGCTCAGCAGCCAGCCATGGCTCCACGACACCTTCTCCTTCCACCCCCGTCTTGCCACATGCCTCTGTCCCACATCCTTCCATCTGGTTTCAGTTGCAAGGGAAAGCCCCTGCCCTGACAGCTGACACCGGTACCGTGCCAGCTACAGAGACTGCACTATTCTCAGCGGATGATTGTTGTCACGTTGGGGAGCTGTGTTGTACCCACACCATGAGCATGAGTTTTCCTCTCCTGCTTCCACTGTCACAGTTACAGTGCAGGACAGCATTAGCCTTTGCACAAAAAGGGAGACAGATACAGGGTTAGGAAGGAAAAGTCCTCCACTGGGCAGAGGAAAACAGGCATCTTGTCCTATTGGCTTGGGAAGCTGTACCCCACTGCGCTCTCAGGGGTCCTGCGGGCTGGCAGCTAGTGATGGTGTTAAAGGAAGCCGTTGGAAGGGGATCTTGGTAAGTCAAAGGAACCATTTTTTCCAGACCACTCTCAATGCAACAACAGCAAGGAGGGGAGAAAACAGGTACAAGACTCAGGACAGGAGCATCCAGGGAAGCACCGCAGTGGTTTTTCACCAATTGATCCACTGGGCTCAGGCCCACAGCAATAAAATCCCCCCTCTCATGCCCCAGGAGCATACCTGTACATCCTGACACAGCCTTTTGAGAGGGGGAGACTTGCTGCATGTCCCATCAACCGCCATCTCTTCCCTCCCCACGTGCTTCACCACGATGCACTTTTTCAAAGGGGAGCCCCTGTAAAAGACAGGAGCTGTCAGGTCAGGCTGTTCAGGGGCTACACCTGCCCTTAACAGGTGTTACAGGCAGCACTGCAGGCAGAGCAGGGGCCCCGAGCTGCTTTTATTGACCTAGAGCGTATGCCACTGAAAACTCCAGGCATACCATGAACTGCCAAGGGCCACCAGCCCCAGGAGAATAGGAAAGGCCTCTGCACAGCTTACCAGGGATTTATCAGGGGTGATTACTATGGAGGAAGCGAGGATTCCACAAGTATCTCGCACAGGTCACTGCTGGGGAGATTCCTTACAAATCCCAAGTTTCCCTGCCTGTGACCGTGAACAAGACCTCCCACAGCACCCAGTAGATATTATGTGGCTGCTCCCATCCCTAGGCATGTCCAACTGTCTTGTTCAGAAGGAAGAAAGCTTTCCAAAGCCAGATTATACATCAAGGAAAAGAGTGGGCCTTTTTTTCCCTCATGAGGGCCAACACAGCCTACCTATAATGCAAACAAAATCTTATCTCCAGCCTTGTCAGAGGAGGTACTTGTCAGAGTACCAACAGATATCTCCATCAGCTAATTCCTAACTTCAGGATCATTTCTGACTCCCAGGTACCTACTTTTACAGACATAGAAACTTATGATTTCAAATTGTAGAAATTTTATTCTACAATTATTCTACAATTCAATTGTAGAAATAAATGGCTTTTTATTAAAGATTTTGAATTTCTAACATGCCCTAAATTTTCATGTTTAATGTAATTTACAACACCACATTCAGTCTCATACAAGCTACACAGATGCTGTGTCTCTGAAATGCTGGGGTTTCAACCCCAAGCCCCAAATTAAGGTTGACATGTGGGTGATTCCCACAGCCCTTCACAAAGGGGGGGGTGAGTTTGCCTTTAGGCTTCCCTCCAGGGTGGGCCGGCCTGGCAGGGAGAGCCATTGGGTAAAGGAGCCCCAGGGGTCTGCAGTCAGTAACCCAAGGTCAGGTGTCCCACTTGGGGATAAAAGCTGGGACCACTTGCAGGCAGGGGCAGTGTCTGTCTGTGGGGTGGATGCCCTGTGCAGAGTTCCCTGTTGGGGAAGGACCTCCCACCTCCCTGGGACTGGGCTCCAGTCAGGTCTGGCCTTTGTAACTGTGGGCTGTGTAGAGATTCAGTATGTGGCTTCCTTGGTCTTATGTGTTTGGCTTGTTGACTCGGTTGTCTCCCTTCCCTTCTATGGGAGACTGCATGTCCCCATTTATTCCACCCATTGCTTGTCATGCAGTGTTGTTGTTGGGGTCAGTGTGATTGATGTCAATTATGTATAATCCGACTGACTTGTTTGTACCCCCAGCGCTCACCCATGTACTGACCCTTTTGTATCAAATACAGTTTGGTTATTGGTTCATCTTTATGCTGGCTGTGTCCTTTATGCTAGGCCTAATAATAGGCAAAACAGTCTCTAAGCTTGGCAAAGCCATTTCACCATGATTATTTCCCCTTCCATAATATCTGATGCTAGATCTGTCTCTATGGTTTAAAGTACCTCAGTGAAGATGCTGAAAAAAAATAAAGCAGCTTCAACATACACTTGTGTGCGGTCAGGCCCTAATCCTGTGCACATGTTGGTGCATGCCAAGTGGAGTGCCTATTACTGTTTATACAGCAACTTCCCAAACTTGAATTGTTTCTGGCTTGTTTTATTATTGTTGAATCAGTGGCTTTGGAGCAAAACTTAAGCCTCATCTCGACATGCTCCACGGTACTGTGTCCAACTGTTCACAACTGCTGTGGCAGTGCATTATTCCCTCCCACTCCAAGAGCTGCTGCTGCAGAACTGGGACATCAGCCATGGGCCATAATGATGGTGGATCAGTGTCTCCAGCAAACCCTCCCACTCAATATGTGGACCTTCAGGTCAGAACAGACAAGAGGAAAGTTAAAAGAAAATATTTTTAAGATAAGGGAGTTGAAGCATGTATTACTTCTGAAAGGCTCATGACTGTAGTGCAGCTCGTGTCTGACCACCTATGAAAACATCCATTCCCATGTGGGCAGGAGCAGATTCTGGCAGCAATGCCCTTCTTACAAGGCAATCCAAACTTACTTGTCTTTACATTTCTGGAGGGCTTCATCTGCAATCTGCTTCAAGTTGATCAGCTTGTCCCCTCGATAAAAGGCATCTGCAAAATGGTAAGGAAAACATTAGAATGGCTTCCCAGCCAAGGCAGTCTGGGACAGCTGGAAGCAACAAGCAGTTTCAGGAGTGCAGAGCAGAGCTCATGCACTGGCGTGAGGCAAAGCAGACAGGCAGCTGATTGGAAAAGTTTCCTAATACACCCTTTTAGCCTAGAGAAACAGATGCCAAGAGAAATGGTGAAATTCCTTCCCTGGGAAAGGTTCCAACTTGACCCAACAAGTCTCTGGAGAATATTCTGTGGGAAATAATCCAGCACAGCCAGAACACAGACTGCAGTTTAGTGGGTCCATTCCATGCCACGGACCCACTGGGGAAATGCAGTGGGTTTACATGCAAACACTACCACTTTCTTAATCCCTTGATTTACAAGGCTTAGAGTTACAGCAGAAATCTCCTTGAAATTGGGAAGGGAGGGAATTCTCACATTAGGACTGCCTCATAAATGATACATGTTGCAAACATCTGGCTGATTTTGAAGAGTAACATGGATGAGAAGTGTTTGAAAACATGTTATTAGCAGCTGGTGACATCATGCTTTACAGGACAAAGTGGGCGGGCTGCTTAGATACTTCACTGTATGTTCGAAGTGGAAAACAGCACTCAAGCACAGCTACAAGCAGTGCATCCGCCTCACAGCGGCTCAGCTGAGGCACTGCCCCTTCCTCTTCCAAGTGCATCTGGCTTTTAAAATAACGACCTTTCAGACTGGCAACAGTAATGGCTCAGGCAGGCAACAGTAACGGTTCAGGGGCACAGATGGATGCTTTACCTGCCGTGACAAGGAGAGAACAACCACAGTCAAGAATCCTCTCGCAAAGAGAATCTGCTGAGAAACCTGCAAACTGACAGAGATCACACAACCAAGTCAGCAAAAAAAACCCCAACCTAACAGGAGATGTACAGTTCACTCATAGTAAATGATACCACCAGGCACTGATGGAGATAGTTAAAGGAGCTCATTCCACAGTTAATACAGAAAAGTGCTAGGAAACAGCAGCACCTTAATTTACTTTCCATCCATCTCATGGTCAGCACCCACCTTTCCAGCTTCTCTCCTGAAAACAAGAGCTGCTCCCCCTAAAAATATCGGCACCAAAAGCAATGCAAAGGGCTTGTTCCTACCACAATGGAGTGCAGAGCTCCAATCCTGGCACAGGCAAGCATGGCTACAACCAGCTCCAGGATCATCGGCATGTAGATGGAAACCCGGTCTCCTTTTTTCACACCTGTGGAGGGAAAATGAACACGGTGTTTGCCAAAATGAACTCATCACACATCAAAAGAACAGTATATAGAAAGAAGCTAATGATTTTAAATCAACATTTATATGTACACAATGAAGCTTCATCTGGAGTTAGAGCTAAACCAGTCTTGGGTTTTGCCTTTCAAGCCCTCTGGCTCTTGTAAGATGACTGCAATGAACACTCTAATGTTTTCATCAGGCACAGCCCTTGAAGGAAGCAGAAATGTAACCAGTACCCACTGCTTGTTGGAAAACCCCAGAGCAGGAAGTTTTGAGCATAGATTTCTTCCTGAAATGCTGACATGACCAGCATTGATTAGTTTTCAGAGTCAAAGATGACTCTCCAAAGCACACTGCAGAGCAAATCTGCACCCACCCTTGCTTTATAACTATGGAAGCAGAGACAGGAGTGAAGCATTTTGCACAGAATTACTCAACAGACTGGCAACCACACAACAAATGAACCCAACCCCTGGTCTAATGCCTTCCCAGTATCCAATGCTCCTATTGCTTCAGCCACATACCTTGGCTGCGGAGGACGTTGGCGAACTGACAGACTTTGTGCAGCAACTCACTGTATGTGATTTTCGCAGAATCCCCAGGTTCATTCCCTTCCCTGGAAAAGCAAGGTAATATTTGTTACTGTACAAGCATTACGAGGTAAGAGTAACACTGCAAATTCAGGTGTACTTACTGCTTTGGACAACATGTGTGCCCTCACCTGCCCTTCTGAGAACAAAGTAACCAAACCTCAGAAATCCAATCCTGGACTGAAGTTCCCCAACAGTAGGAAAATTTAGTCCAAAGTCCCCATCCGTGTGTAGATCACTACACATGAGAACAACTGAATGCATGCAGTGGAAATACATGCTACTTTCAGAGAAGCAAAAAGGGTCCACAGAACCAAAGCTAATAGTGAACATGCTCAGGAGCAAGCTGGGATTTATGGCATAGCACCCTTGCTCACATGGGCTTACGCCTGCAGATATGCCTGCATGAAACATCGGCCAATGTTGTCATGCAGCAACACCCAGTCCTTAAATACCTATTAACTGATGGACTGGGATGGGATGTCAAAGGCTGTTTTATCTTCCAAGGTCATAGATAAATATACCCGTGTATATTTGCTCAGTGCCACTCCTGCTCTGCATTATCCTCTGTGGTCCTCCATGAACCAACCCCGGGCTCCTGCAGCCCAGGTGCCAGTTTGGTGGGACCTTGCCATCAGACACACTGATGGGAAGAGGAGCCAAGAGCTGCACCTGGAAATGGAGCAGGAATGTCACATCCCCAGGGAAACAGTTTGCTACCAAAGTAAAAACCAGTTAATTTTAATGTGACACAATGCTTCAGCCATGCAAATGAGGTAGCACTCCCAACAGATCAGGAGATTAACAAAGAATCTGAAATGACTTCACACTTGGCAGACCAGCGGTCTCCCGCACCCAGGAAGGAAGGAGACACTTTCCCAAGTCTCTCCCCAAGGCAGCCAGCATGGAAACATCAGTGATCATTGACAGAACCTGAGTATCACTCTAAGCTGATAGAGTCCCCCTGGAAAAGTGTCCCCTTGAGTATGTGCAGCCAAATGAAAAACAACACCGGTGCTGGGGAGAAGCCAGTAAGCACCTCCATGCAGTGTCCTCCCTTAGGACTGCAGCCAGGCTCCGTCTAACTCGGGAACAGAAACCTCACTTCTTTAACATCTCAAACAGTCCAGAGCACACCAAAAATATGTACTGAATTCTAGCTAACGCTAGCCTCTGCTCCCCCTTCCCCCAGTAACACAAACAGAAGGAAGGCTCCTGTGATGCAGAAATGCATTAACACCCTCATTTCTTGTGTAATTCTGTGTCAGGATAACAGTGACCATGCGCTCCAATGACAGACATGGTCCTGGTGGAAACAGAATCAGACCTGGGAGAGCCCCACTGATACAAGCTCTGTGCCTACTGCCCTGTGTAGGACAGGGGTTTCAGAACTGGTGGTTACACTTAGATCATCCCATTCAAAAGCTGCTCATGGATCAGCTGTTTACAAACCTGACTTATCCCTCAGATATGATACCGAGTTGTACTCCTGGGTTCCCTGGCACTCTACAGCAATCTGATCCATCAATACCTGTACTGACATGCAGAGAGCAGTGTATGTTCCCACCACTGGCTCCTGAAAGGGGATTCCCTGTTTGTTCCTTTATGCAAGTTTGGCCCCTTAAGTGCAAAGCGGGGAGAAATAAGAATACAAAGAAAAACAAAACCATAGGAATGAGAACCAGTGCCATGACAGGCAGCTCAGCCCTGGCATCCAAGCAGTTTCTTCTCCTTTCCCCATCATAACCTGGAGCAACACTTTCAGCTAAATGACATGTGAAACCATTAGACAAGGTCTCTTACAGGAGGGCACTCGTCTAGCAGAGAGAAGCCAGGAAATCAGAAAGTTTCCTTTTTGATTTTATTACCTGGGGGTCAAAGATCCAAAAGCTGATCTCAGTGCTGGACTGAGCAGCTGTAATTGATCTGGCTGGAAGGAAGAGCATCTGCTTGTGTTGTGCCTGGCTGCAGGCTCAGTGCCTTCCCTCACCATGCAGAGGTTTTCCTTGGTGCATCCACACCGCAGGTGCAGCAGCATCAAGGCTAGCACTGTGCAAACCTGCTTGGGTCCAGACACGCAGCATCACTGTGCAGATCTGCCCCTCGGCGATGAGCCTTGCTAAGAAATATCTTAAAAACAATTATAATGTTTCCAAATGCAATCCCAGCCCACTAATCCTGCACCTGAAGATCTCTGCACTGGGGTCTACTGGGCACTGCGGGCAGGCCCTGTGCCACCCAGCCTGCAGTCCAGCATAAACCTGCAGAACAAGGCAGGGAGGAGAGATATCTCTTTGCCCATTCCCTGCTGCAGCGGATGATCTAATTACAACCTTTACTAAGAGAGAAAGACATTAGGAGCAAAGACTAGCACAAGCTGTCCCATCTGGAAAGCTCTCCATGTAAGGCAGGTAGCCCACGGCCATGTGTGCTATTCGGGGGCCCTGCTGGGAGCTTGAGGTGAAGCACTGGTTTGGCTGGTGGCAGACTTCAGCAAGGACACAGAAGAAAGCATTGGCTCCCCATGCCAGGGAAATCAGGTTTGCCCATTAACTCCAAGGTGCAGTACCTGCCTAAGAAGGGAGAGGAAGGCTCTGCTTTGTGTGCAAAGCCTGGGAGTCTTCTGACACAAGTCCTGCAATCCCACGCTCCAGGAAGGCCCAGCTCCCTGCCTCGAGCCTTCACTGGCTGCACTTCTAATGCATCTCCTCAAAAGATTCCAGCAGAGCCTGGCCATGCTCTGCACTGCAAACAGGTCTCTGCAGGCACCAATTTGCTTCAGGCTGGCGTGGTTACTGCTGCCATAAGATGGGCTGATGGCCGGATGGAGACAGAGCCTATGTAAAAGGCCGTGCTGAGCACCCTACGCTTGCCTGGCAGCCGAGGGGAGACAGCAGCCAGGCCACACCAGACTGTGGCCCTGGGACGAGCAGCCACGCTGCCTCCCACATACAGTACTCGACCTGCCTGGAGCTTCCCAGGTGAGGCACCATTCAGACGTCCCTGCTCTCTCTGCACATAAAAAGCGCATCTCAAATACGCCAAGGCCTCCTCCTTGCCAGACTTTGGGAGGGAAACTGAAACCAGAGAACGCACCCAGGCTTGTCCTCAAAGCCAGCACACGTGGGGCACTGCAGAAGAAATGCTAAGTCAAAGAGAAGTGAAAACTTCTGCAAGGATTTTCAGAGGGTTTTCCAAGTCCTTCCCATTAATTCGCATGACTGCAAAAGAGCTCTACTAGCATCAGTGGGGGAAACATCAGGCTTCAGATTATCTCGTGCTTAATGGGAAATGAATCATGTCTACGTTTCTACAGAACAAGGCACCTCCTTTCACTGCACCTCCAGCAAAAGCCTCCGAGCAGTCTTTCAAGAGCAGGCAATTGCTCTAAGTCTCCCCACGTCTGAAAATAGTCTGGAGTGCCCACAGCTACACTCAAGAGATTGCTCTGTACTCTGCTCTGGCACAAAAGCCCATAGAATTATGTATTTCAGATGGGGCATTTAAAGGAATGCCCGTTCACATGCTACCAAGTACTCTGTGTGTCAAAAGCAGGCCTGTTAACTCCTGGCAGCAAAGTTCTGTGAGCAGCATCTTCCCTTCAGTGCCCACCACATAAAAATCAAGAGCTGTCAGCCCTGAGCCCCTCACATGGACTCACTTGTCCAAATTAAACTGAAAAAGAAATAAAAATAAAAGACCTCACACTTCTGAAAACAATGATGCAGTGCTCACCTCTACACATCTAATGTGTAGCCCAAGCCCCACAGAATCCAACACTCCCCAGATATACCCTTTTTTTAAGAACTGGTGATGAAAATAGTTGGCAGCAGCACTGCTGCGATTGCTAGCATGCAATCTCTGATCTAACAGCAAGCTTTCTTCTGAAAGGAAAAACAAATTTTCAGCTCCCTGAACTTCCCAGATACATCATTAGAGGAAATACACGGAGAAACACAGTTTGAGCCTGATGTTCTTCTCATCTCTCTCAAACTGAGTTCTGAATTTAGCAACATCTAATCCAAATTTTTACAGTATCATCTCAGTCACAGCAGGAATGTATTTGACTTCTTTAGCAATTAAGAAGGCCATGTTTTTACATACTGCATGTTGCATACATGCTCAGCGGGAAAAAGGCATTTTTTTGGCCATATGGTCTCAGCTGAACTAAGTAAATGCAATCCCTTTTAACTAAATGCACAGATGCACAATGGGGACCTTCCAAGGCAGGCTTTCTCCTAGAACTTGGTGCTTTGTTGGAAAAGGCAGGTTTCACGCAGAGATAATAGCTTTCTAGCTGCCTGCATCCATTCATTGCCAGGACCAGATAAGCCCAAGGGCATCAGGGACCATCACGGTAGTGCCCAGTTCTGCACAAAATAGATCCCTGACAATGTATTAAAGGAAGCATAGGCTCTGCAGAGCACTTATCGTGCTGTTCCTTTCTGCCAGCAGTTAAAATAACAGGCTGTCCATTTCTGAACAGGCACTGGTACACACACGAGCCCCATGGCACATGCCTTCGGTGGCCCTAGCAGCATTTCTGCAAGAAAATCACTTGCAGAAGTCACCCTGGGCAGGAGAGGAAGAAAACTTCAGGTGAGAAACCTGAACACTTGTCACCTCCACAGCACAGCCATGCTTAGATGAGGCTCAGGGACTGCCTGCCTGCTCAGCTGGGAGTTTAACTTTGGAGGTGCAGAGCCACAGACGTATTTCACCTGGTGCCCATGTAGCTAAATCAAGGTTAAGCTTCCCCGTTAGAGTGACCACACAGGCCAGCAAAAGATGTTGTATATACATTGTGTAGTAGGAAAAGTGGTTTGTAGGAGCAGGCAAGCATTTCTTTAGAGTCACTTTAACTCAACTGTTGACCCTGTGGAGCAGTCAGGGATGCAGAGTAGCAGCATGGGAGAGGGAAGCAGTGGCCAGATGCACTCCTGGGTATTTGCACCAAAGCAGGTTAAGAAGTTACTGGGCTCTGCCAAGCATCAGGGCTGACTACAGGACTTTTCAAAGCACTCAC